CTGGGATCTGGGGCCTTTGGCCTGGCTCTGCCACACCCTGATCTTCACTGACGATCCACAGAGCATCTCTTCACCCCGGGGGAGTGGCATTTTAATAGGTCTACACGCAAGTTCATTCAAATTAAACAAAATAAAATTTTCAGTTCCTCAGCGGCTCTAGCCACTTTCCAAGTGCTCAACAGCTGCCTGCGGTTAGTGACTACCACACAGGGCAGGGCAAATATAGCACATGTCCATCATCACAGAAAGTTCGACTCGACCGCACTGGCTAAAGGGGTGAGAGTGCGGTTTGGGAGTCAGGACATCTAGGTTCTAGCTCCAGCTTAGCTCGTAGTTCATGCTGAGTTTAGACAAGTCCCTTTGCTTCTCAGAGCCTCAGTCTCCTCATCGGTGCAGCCCATCCCTCACGCTGTGTAAGGCAGGGCACAGTCAATGCTTGATAAGGACCTTTTGATTGATTCTGCCTCCCCACCACCTTGGGTCAGGCCCACGTGGCCCTGGGGAAACAGTGGAGGCTGAGGGACCCACCTGCCATCCCCAGGCACCAGCAGTTCATGAAAATACTGTAGAACCTGGAGCTTGTCGGGCAGGCTTCCCTGAGTGTCTCCACTGTCTCCAGGCAGCAAAGCTAGAGCCAGGAGGGCAAGTCCTGCAGGGGGCCCATGTGTATCTTTCCAGGGGCTTACGAAGGCCTGAGTGTAGCCTGAAGATCCCAAACTCATCCCTCCCAAACCCAGCTAGAGGCCTGGGCAGGGCCTTGGGGAGGAGGCAGCCGCAGGGGCTGGTTCAAGGGGGAGGGGAGGCGTGGGGAGTCAGAAATGCACTATCAGCACTGCCGTCCTCCCCACTTCCTCTCTTCGAACGGATCACATCCTGTTATTGTGTGGACAGAGAAGGCCAGGAGCTGGGGAGGGAGGCAGGGCTCGGACCAGGCCAGTGGGGAGAGAAAGGAGGAGCCAAAGAGAATGTCGCAGCGGGCAGTGGGTAGCTCCAGCAGCCCTGCCTGACCCCAGGTGGCCTGGGCAGGAGTAGGGTACCCAGCAGGGAGGACCAGTATCCCTGGAGCAACTTGAATTTGCCATTGAGAGAAGATGCTGGGGCTCCGGACAGGCTGTAACTCCCTGCAAAGGCACCTAGAAGAAAGGAAATAGTACCTCCTCCAAGAAGCCTGCCCAGCATCCTCTTCAAGCTCCTTCAAGCTGGCCCCCCAGCATTGCCCAGCGTGGGGCAGGCCAGAGGAATCCCTGCTGCTGTGAACGGCTAATGTTCCCACTTCTCCCTCTGCCCCTTTGCTTTTTTCTGCCATTCCCACGTACAGCCCTATCCCAGCCCCATTCCAGCATTGGGTTTAATACGGCTGCTTTCTATGAAACACAAACACCTTCCTTACATATATTATTTTGAAATCCCATGGCAGCCTTGTAGATGGGTGTTAAGATCTTCATTTAACAGACAAGGAAACTGAAGCTCAGAGAGGTTAAATGATTTACCCAAAGTCACACAGCAGGTACAGTAAGTGGCAGCCCTGGGTCTTAAACCCAGGTAAGTCTGACCCAAAGGCTTGGGTCTTCCTGGGGCCCAGCTGCCTTTCCTGCTCAATCCACCTGTGCCCTGGCCTTTCCCTACTGGAGCTGACAGCACATCAACTGTCCTTATTGCCCAGGAGCCTGTCTTCAAGCAGAACCTGATGGAGGCAAGCTCTCCAGAACCCACACTGATTGTCGTGGCCCTGGGCAGATGGCTGGACCAACTGAGCTGCTGTCTCCCCGTGGCACAGCTCAGGCCTATCTTCTCTAAAGCCGCTAACTCTCTACTGAGCACTGGCTCTGGACTCAGACCAGAATTCAAATCCTAGGTCCCCTTGATGAAGCCCCCATCCGCTCATTTCCTCCTTTGGGCAATGGAGAGGATGCCCTGGGCCATCTTGACTTAGTCCTTTCCTGACTCTGACTCATGATAACGGAGCCTCTACTGCTGGACATGGTGCCCCAGCCTGTCCCCAGCAGGCTGGTCAGAAGTGTTTGCCTGGCTCACATGGGCCATAGGCCAGAGGGATGTCCTGGATGTTGGGGGACTATTCACCGTTTTGCAAGCAGGAAGTGGGTAGTGGGCAGCATGAGGAGGCAGGCGGCTATGAGCAGACCAGATAAACAGCCTCCTGATCTTCATCACCCCCCACCTCTCCCCATCCAGGTCCAATATGATAACCAGGCTACTGGTGTGTCTAGCCTGAGAAAACTCACATCCTGCCTCCCTACTCCCCCTACCAACAAAAGCAGCCCAAGACCCTCTGCCACCCCAGGGGCAGAGCTGTCCACCAGCCCCTTACCAGCCCAGGACCAAGGTGTTGGGGGAGGGGGAAATGTAGCAGGCATTTTTGTAGAAATGACCCTGTCTCCCACCCATCCACCTCCCCTCACTTTTTCATTTCATGTTGCCCTCAAAACCGCACTAGAATATTCCATACAGGGTAACAGTCAACAAATGTTGAAAGGGACTGGGCCAGATCTGACATAGGGCACCAGAGAGGAAGAGCCAAGTCAGACATGGTTTTGCCCTCATGAGCTTGGGTTTGAATCGGGAAGCAGACAAGTGGACAAACAGCAGACACACAGAGGGAAGGAGAGCCTGTGGGGACACATAGAAAGTGGCTGACCCCATAAACGCTCCTGGGTGGTGAGGACAAGTTAACCAAATGAAAGGAGGGCGGGAGCAGAGGATGGGTAGAAACCAAAAGTGCAAAAACTGGACAGCTATAAAGAGAAAAAATTGCAGTGTGGAACAGAAAGGATAGGACAATAGGAGCAAAGAGAATGAAGGGCAGAGTGGTGAAGGGAGGCTAGAAAGATCAGCAGGCCATTCAGGCATGACCCCCGGTGTGGTCCCTTCCCTGCGGTGGGCACAGGTTGTCCTGGGAGGCAGGAAGCCTGGTCCTACCCTGCCTGCCACAGCTGTCATTGTTTATGGGACATGTGGGCCTGGGAAGACTCCTTTCCCCTCTGGGCCTCCATCTCCCATGTGGAGGTATGGACGCTAGCCCAGACGATCCCCGGGACCTGGGCAGCCTGGGAAATCCACAGCTTCATAGTCTCCTCCTTGGTGCCACAGAGCTGATGGGCTCTTTCTGGCCTCTCTAGACACGGACAGCCTCGCCCTCTCCTGGGAAAGGACCTTCTGGAAATGGGTGTTCTTTCATGACAGCCAGGCTGCTGCCTCTACCCCTCCCCGTGACAGACCCTGCTCTCACTAAAGTCATCAGCGACCTCCACATTGCCAAATCCAGGCAACACTTCAGGCCTTTCTTTGCTTGACTTCTCAGAGGCATGGGGCTTGGTTAATCCCACATACATATTTGCTTTAGCCTCTGAACCACCACCTCTCCTACTGTCCTCCCACCTCTCTCACTGCTGTGTCAGCCTCTGTCTGTCTCTGATCCTTTCATCATGCTGCTCCTAGGGCTTATGAGCACAGGTCAGGCGCTGGGTCCCGGGCCACCCACCACTGCCACCACCACGACCCGCTGATCTCCCTGCCCCAGAGCTCAGTCTCACCATCCCAGCTGCCTGGGGACCTCCTAGCCCTGGGCTAGGGAGAGACACACAGTCTTCCAAACCCAAAGAGCTTCCCTGCAGGCCAGAGCATGATCCCAAGTACTGTTGTGCTTTTGCCCTCAAAGCTACAGTTGGAAACACCCAGGACAGGGTGGTCAAGATCCAAACCTGGCGGGATGAGATAAGCTCACCCAAAGGAGCTGTGGGCACCTTGAGTTCCCTTCTTGGCACATTTCTTTTCCTTAATACTAATCACCTTCCAACTTACCATATAATTAACATATTTGTGATGGATGGGTGTATGTGTGTGTGTGTGTGTGTGTTTACTGTCTCCTTGCTAGAATTTAAGCTACACAAGGGATCTTTGTTTTCTTCACTGCTGGATCCCCAAGACCTAGAACAATACCCAGCGCATTGGAGGTGCTCACTAAATATTTGCTAAAAGAATGTAATAAAGGAGGATTGGTACTCCATTGGAAATGCCCGCCTGACCTACTGAAGATCCAACAGTCCACGTGTAGAGGCCTCCCAATAACCCAGAGTCCCGCCTCTGAATGTCATTCCCATCCCTAAGCCTCCACTCACTACCCCCCAAAGCCTCGACCACATTCCCTGAGCCCCATGTGAGAGACCTGTACCCCTCAATCCTCAAGAGCCAGGCATTAGAGCTGTAGCCATCAGGGAACCTGGGAGCCTACCTTGGTGAGACTTGAATCTGTCCTGAACCTATGATAAAAGCAACTGCCCACCCACAGGAGCTGAACCCGACACAGAGTGGAATATCCGTGGGGCCACCCTTGGTGGAAAGCGTGGGTGCAAAATGCTGAGAAGGGGGGAAAGAATGGACACCCTACTGAGGAAGCCTCAGGGAGGGGGGATTCCCCCTCAGAGGACACTGAGTCCTGGAGGTCCCCATTTCAGGAGAGACAGGTTCTTGCCATACCTTTCCTTTTAATGTCCCAACTCTCAGGCCTAGGGTGCAACATGCAAGCACAGAGTCCAATCCCCTTTGTAAAACTTTTATTTAGAAATCTTCCCAATATATCCTTATATATACACACACATCGTCACCACATGGGTTTTGTAGCTAGAGTCACACGCCCACAGTGTTGGCCTCTGGGCTGTACAAAGGTCAGGTACCTGGAGCGATTACTCCTCTTCTGCAGAAAAATGCAGAGACCAACGTAATTCATCAGTTCATCACGTACAGTACAACATTGACGGAAAGTGCTGGGCCCGCCCACAGGAACACTGCACTATGTACATGGGCAGGGGCAAGCCTTCGGCGGGGGCCACGTACCATTGGCATCACAAGTACGACCAGACCACCCCCAAAGGCCGAGATAGTTGTCGGCTGACTACAGATTCTGTGCCCTTGGTTTTGTTTTTGGAAAAAAGATAAAGGTTGTACCATCTTGTCGTTTGCCACTACAAATAAAAGAATATACATTTTTCTTAAAAGATGGGAGTCCCCCATCATTTTTATTCTCATGTTTTTAAACCTTCCCATGTTTTCCCTTTTGTACAGATATTATTCTTGGAATGTTGCCATTTCTTCATGGGTGAGGAGGAGGCAGGGGAGGGAGAGGGTAGGATGGGGCGAAGGGTTGGAAATGAAAATAAAGTATGGATCTTCTCTAGTTCTTACAAAAACCTAAAGCCTTGTGCTTCCCTACCCAGGCCTGTGGTAAGTGGTTGCATTACATTTTACATATTCTACCCATGTTGCCATATCTCTTATCCATTCTCATTCCTGTACCTTGCCTTGGAATGAGCCAGACATGAGGGCAATTATGAGAAATGAGAACAATCTAGATAACTCAGGCAAAAGTGGGTTAGAACCTAAATTATCCCAAGCTGTGTAGTCAGGCAGCCTGGCCCACTGCCTAGGCCCTGAACTCAGGGTTGGAAACCCCACCTCAGGTTTAAGAGGAAACGAGTTCTTTATGGTCTCAGAACGCTTCTACTTTCATGTCCATTCAGTCCTAGGAGCAGAGAGCCAGGGTATTGATGGGAAACTGACACTTAGAGATAACTTGTGAGAGAAAAGGGAGCCAGAAGCTTGAGTTCCTGACAGAATGTGTGATCCATCTCCTAAACCCATCCACCTATCCGCACGGTGGCGCCAAGTCAAATTAACCCACCGGGAAGCAAGCACAGCCTTAGGACAGGTGTTCCCTCTTTACAGATGGGGTGCCTCACAGGAGCTGTTCATTAAAATGTGATTTTGGCTGACATGAGATAGACAGAGAGCGACAAGGGTTAACCATAGTGCTCCCATCCTCACAACTTAAAAGGAAAGGGAGGGGAGCAGGGGTCATTCCCTGTCTGCAAATGGCTGTACCCAAGGCCCCATTGCAGTGAGGGCAAGGCCTGAGCTGAAACCCAAAACATGTGAAGATCTTCCACATGGCCATGGACAGGGCCAGGCCATAGGATCATTCCCCTCTGACCTGAAAGGCAGAGCCTGGTGGGAGACGGCTGGGGTGACTTGAGGATACAATGACAGGTATGAAGGACTTGTGTGCAGTTTGTTCCATGGGCTTGAAATGCGGGTCACAGGCAGGCCTAGCCTTAAGAAAACCACATCCCGACACTTGGATTGACACAGGAGATCAACGAGGGGCAGTGGTCCACTCTACAAAAGGATTCTTCACTTACAAAAGGACTTGCAGTAGTATTTCTTTAAAAGATTAAGGATAAGGATTTGATTTACAAAAATGTCATGTACAACTTTTGGAGGGGGGCACTCCCATTGCATTAAGCTAGCCTCCCATTCACACCCGTGATGACTGAAAGTTACACGGTCAAAGGTGTTTAAGATTCTGCTCAGTGAATGTGCATCCATTCGGGTCTCAGCTGGGGCCTGGTCTCTGACTGCATTACCATGTCCTAGAAGTGGAGCTGGATCCTGGGTCATATCTACCTAAAGATCCCACCAACAATTAAAGTAAAAAAGAAAAAAAAAATCCCAAGTGCCAGGGAAAAAAAAAATCCCAAATGCCAGGAACTCCTAGGACAGAGTGTGTGCTCAGTTCCACTCAGAACACCGACCAGACCATTAGCTAGCAGACATCCTGCAGCAGGGCGGGACCTTTGAGCATCTTGGAGAATGCACAGATGGGGCTCCCATCTCCTCTCAGCACCAACACATGCCCATCCATCAGCACACTGGCATCTGCTCACCGCTGGAACAGTGATGAGTAGCTCTGAGACACTACCAGGATTGGAAGCCCACGAGCCCCAAATAGCATTTGCTCAATTCCCTCTAACAATTTTGTTCCTTCTCTGCCTTCACCCAAAGCCCAAAGGACATGCTCACAGCTGCAGACTCAGTCCCCACAGCCACAAGGATTAGGAAGGCAAATTTCAGTGGGGAGAAAGCAAAGCTTCGGTCCCCTGGCTTTTCTGCCCCTCTGGCCCAGCTAACCCGGAGCAGGTGGTCCACCAGCCGTCTTCTTCAACCAGGCCCTGAAGAAGGCACCTTGAGGCTTGACTCTGCAGCAGTTGGCAAGCTGAATGGACCAACATGGGCCTGGGTGAAGATGGGGCTCGGGAAATGGGCAGCTATTGGGTACCTATATATTTGGGTAGAGTGGCTAGCAAAGCCACCCCAGCCAACTTAGGAGGGGGCTAAAGGCAAGGCAGAGATTGCTGAATGCCTCAGGTGAGAGATGACAACCCCAGGTCTCAGCAAAGACAGGGCTCCCAAGCTTCAGGCCAAAAGCAGCGCCACTCAAGCCTCTTACATGAGAAGTCTTAGGGATTTGGGGAAGGGGCAAGACCGTGCCGTCTTCATAAAAAGTACCTACCACTTTGCTCCATTTTTCTGTTCTCCTACTGAGGCAGGAAGTGAAAAGCCAGCCCCAGGGCAGTTTGGGCTTCCCAAAGTTCAGGCATCAAGGAAAGTTCATCAAGTCCATTGCCCTACTTCAGAGCTACCCAGTCTTTGCCCACCTGCCTTGAAGCCCACGGTCCCAGCGGCCTGAGGGCACCCTCCTGGCTGGCCCAGGATGGTCCCAGGCCCATCACCGAGGGCCCGCTCCCTCAGTGGCGGGCAGCATGGCAGGATGGAGGCTGCGGGCTGTGTGCTTGGGTGCAGGCTCTTCAGTGTAGCTGTCCGGGCTGGCTGCCCCATCCAGGGAGCTGCCACAGCTGGAGTTGGGGGACAGCACATCCTGCAGGAGATCATCTGGAGGTGCACCACCGCCTCCCACTCCACCTCCTCCGCCAGCCCCCACCATGGGGTCCTTGCCAGGCTTGGCCCTCTGGGTGCCCTCTTCTTCCTGGTCATTGAGCAGCTTGGCCAGGAAGTTGATGTACTTCATGGCCAGGCGGAGAATCTCATTCTTACTGAGCTTCTTGTCTGGGGGATGTGTGGGGATCAGCTTGCGGAGCTCAGCAAAGGCCCCATTCACATTCTGCTGCCGCCATCGCTCCCGGCTATTGGTGAAGATGCGCCTTACGACTTTGGTATGGGGACCTGGAGGACAAGGGGACAAGGGTTAGGAGAATGGGTTGGAAATCTACCAAGGATCTTCTCCTATGGGGAAGCAGAAAAAAAAATTTATTGGGAAACCTACAATACCTTCTTTCCTTTTACTTAGAAAACTCTTACTCATCCTTCAAAACCCAGTTCATCTCAACCCCTCCAGAGAGATCTAACCAACCACCACGGCCTTACAAATCCCTGGATCTCCATTACTCTTAATCATTGTTGTATGCTTCTACGCTTATCTCTCTGTACTGTGAGACACTGAGGACAAGGACCACATATTCATTCATTAACTTGTACCAAGAGGCCATATTGCACTAGTTACAAAGACAAACTCTGGAGCCAGACTTTCTGGGTTCAATTCCTGACTATTACTCACTAGATAGTGACTCTGAGAAAGTTATTTAAACTCTCTGCCTTAGCTTCATCATCTGTAAAATGGAGATAATACTAATCACTCAAGAATAAAATTATCACATGGATCTAACAACTAACACAGGCAAAGTACTTAAGACAATACCAACCTCAGATTAAACATTTGGTCAATACATGTTAGCTATTATTATCTGTGCATCAGTTATTTCCTAACAACCAGGCAGTAGGCCTAGCACTAAGGAATAATGCTGAACAAAACAGACAGAGTGACTGCCCTCCTGGAGCTTACCTTTTAATGGGGCTGACAGATGGTGAACAAGAAGCAAACAGATAAACAGACAGGAGGCTGGATGTAAATAAAAGACAGAAAGGAGCTACCGTGCTTAGTTGAGCTGGTTGGGGGCAGCCTTTCAGAGGAAGTGACATCTATAAGATGAGAACTTAAGGCTGAAGAAGAGCCAGCCAGGCATGGGAAGAGAGAATGGCATGTGGAAAGGCCCTGAGCTAAAACAAAAAAAAAAAAAAACACAAAAAATGGCTGAAGTGGGTGAGATCTGAGTAGGCTAAGTTCAATTCCTAGGGCCCTGCAGTAAGGTGTGGGGATTTTTATTGTAAAGGTGATAGAAAGCACAGAATAAGGGTTTAGTAAAATGTCTGCTGACTGATCATGCTGGCAGGTAAGGAAATGGAGGAGAGAGAAGAGAACAGAAGGAAAGGACTTACCCTGCAGGCTCTCTCCCCGAGAGGAGTGGAGAGACAGCCATGCACAGGCTCAGCCTGAGGCTCTAGGCAGGCAGCTGGGGGCTGCCTCAGTCTCTCCATGTCTACAATGCACTGATTATATGCACTGATCAATATTCACTGCGTTTGTGCACTAAGACTTGCAGAGCAGTGACAGACACCAGCATGCATGTATCTGGCACCTATGGTGTGCAAAGCACTGTGCTATGTCCAAGCCTGACCTGGGATTTCCAAAGCCAGGGAAGACAGAGGTGGGCCCTGCCAGTGCTCCTGAGCTCCTGGGCCGTGGCTGCTTCCTCCCCAACACAGAGCTGGGGCCCAGCAGTCCTCAGGAAGCTCTGCACACTGGAGGAACTGCCAGTACTGGCCTATTGGTTCGTTCTCTTCCTATGATCCTTGGAACCAGACCTCGGAATGTGGAAACTTGGGTAGGGGAGAAGAAGAAAGGAAAAGTCAAGACATCACCTAAGACCTACTCCTCATTTCACAGCTAAGGAGCCTGGGGCCAGGACAGAGGAGGACTTGCCTCCAAGGTCAGTCTATGACCCAGCTTGTCCATGCCAACACTTTCTGCTTGATCATCTCTCTCCTATGTGTGTGTGTGTGTGTGTGTGTGTGTGTGTGTGTGTGTGTGTGTAGGAGAGAGATGATCAAGCAGAAAGTGTTGGCATGGACACACACACACACACGTTTTCCCAGGGAGGGTCACTCATTCTCCGCCACAGTGCCTCTGAAGCTGTCTTTCCAAACCCCAACAGGCCCCAGCCCAGCTGGCTCTGCCAAAGGGCAGACCAGACCCAGGCTGGGAAGAACACAGCACAACTGCTGGGCAGTCCTACCGTAGGTGCCTCAGAGGAAATAACTTGCTGTTCTCAGCCTCCAGGCCAGGTGGAGAGGAATCCCTCAGCTGTGGCACAGGGAGCACCAGCCCCTGCTCCGTGACTAATGCTGGCTGATCTTGAGGGAGCTCCTAGGTGTGTGGGGGAGGTGGGTACGTTATGGCTGCTGTCACAGTTAGAGCTAGACAGGCCCCAGAAAGAGCACCTACCCCGAGCAGGCCCTAAGAACACTTTACCCCATTGTGTACTTCCAATAATGTGAGGAAGCTATTATTCTCCCCACTTTACAAATGAGGAAACTGAGAACCAGAGAATTTCAGCAACAAGAACCACATCAAATCCTGACTTTAGACCTTGTACATAACCCTTTTTGGTTAAATTTCTGATTTCAAAGTCCATGGAGTTATCCTGCACCCTCATGAACCTCCCCTTCACCCTCATTTCTGTTTATCCTTCCAAGAGAACTACCCACCTCTTCACACCTTCCTCTTTCCTCAGAATGTCCATCCTGTATGCCCTCTTTCTCTCTCTGGCCAGTCACTGAATAGGTGCTCAGTAAATATTGGTAACATATGGGTAATGGCTTCCCTAATCCTCCTGCACTCCCCCCAAACCCTTGCCCCCTTCCCATCTCCTTCCTCTCCTCTGTGCCTAGTTTCCCCGTGCTTCTGTCCTTTGTAGAAAATGCCACTTTCCTGGGGAACTTCAGGCCTGGTCCAGGCTACTTCCTATTTGGCATACCTACCATCCCTCTCTAACCTAGCAGCACTGACACCCCATGACTCTTCCCTCTTGGCCCTATACCCCTGCGCCCCAGGCTGGTTGGGTCTTTTGAGGTCTGTTCCTTGTCCAGACTCTAGCCTCTCTCCTCTCCAGAAGACCACAGTGGGCTCCCCTCCAGAAGCTCCTGCCCAATACCCATCCCTCCCACCTGCCCCTTGCATAAATCTCAGCCTGGCTCCAAGGCCTCAGGTGCCCTTCCTTCAGGAGCCCAAGCTCCAGCCAGGCTGAGCACTGGGAGCTCCAGTGATTCCCTCCACATCCCTGGACTCTAAAGAGCCTGCTCTCCTGCCTCCTGGTGCTGGGCCCCATCTGCACATTAAGGTCAACCTTGGGAAGAGGGAAGGAGTCTTCCAAATTTCCCACTCATTTAACCTCCTCCCCCAAGTTCAGAGCCAAAGGTTACTTGGGCAGTGTGTAATAGCAGGGCTAGGGCCCTTCTCGGGAAGCAAGGGGCAGTGTAGAATCTATAATGTCAGGAAGGGAACTTCAGGTCTCAGCCCTGAGTGTGGAACAAGGGACAAGAGGGCCCCACAATGTAGGGACTTGGAAGGAGACCCCTGCAGGTTCAATTCCAGGCTAGGAGCAAACGCCAGACTCTAGACTAGACTGAAGAGATCTTGGAAGGAAGTGCAGGGAGTCCCTGAGGTTGGTGCTTAGTGTGGGAGCACCTTGTGTTTCTGCCCTTCCCCGGGATCCTTGCCAAGTGTAGGAATGGAGCTAGAGTGGGGACTGCAACTGACCCTTAGAGGCTTGGGCTAAATGTCACATGTCTTCACTCCCATGTCCTCTCTTCTCTAATCCCAGCTCAGCTGCAAGGCAACTTCCAGCAGTTTGGGGTCCCAAGATAGCCTGCCCATCCACGTGAGACACCTAGGAGTAGTCCCCATGATCCCTCCTTCAGGAGGCGCTAACCAGCATGAGGGGCAAATAGCAAAGGTGGAGGCAGAGACTCACCATCAGTAATCTCCATCTCATAAGGGGAGGGTCTCCTCTTCACTCGATTGTTGGTGGCAAACATAGGGAAGGCATCTGGCTCCCCAAAGAACCCACTGTGGGAAGGAGCAGGCAGATCACAAGATAACGTTTAGGGTGGACATGAGACAGAGGCTCCTTAGCAACCCCCCTGCATGTCCTTGAGCCTCTCACCCCTGGAAAAACAAGGGCATCCCTGGTCCCTTCATACCTGAATTGGGAATAGAAGCATGAAGCGCGCGCGCGCACACACACACACACACACACACACACACACAGAATCAGAGGTGAACGTATGGAACAAACACAAAAATGAACACACACAAACCCCACAGAGAGACACACTCTCCTCCCCAAATACAAGCCACACAATCCACAGACAACCTCCACTTTCAAACAGGTGCTCACTCAGGCAGACATGGCCTTCACATTTGGTGGTGTGCAACTCCAGCACCACAAAAGGGCACACTGCTCCCTCCCTCCAACCTCCCCCCACCTCCATCCTGGCCCCATGGGGCCTGTGGACAGACAACAGACAGGAAACCCTGACTCACCCCCGCCCCCACCCTCCAATGCCCGCTTTGGGCTCTCTGTAGCTTCTCTCTGGAGTCTCCTGCAGACTCATTGACTGTATCCCTGTATCATCTGCCTATCTCCATCCCAATCCTGCCTCCCTTTCTCCAATGGACTCCCTCATGACAAGGGGTGGAAAGCTTGGGGACAGAGACCACAGCTAGGGGCAGAGGGGCTGGGGAGGGGAGGAAGGGATCCACTCCCGAAACAGACTGTCCCCCTTTTACATACGTCCCCCTATTTCCCCTATTGACCTCTTCTAGCCCACGCCTGGCCCCGACCTCCCGCCCCCCAAGGCCTTCACCACCTGTGTCCGGACCCTAGAGCAGAGATTCAGAGGCAGAGGAGGGAGCTCACTCCCAATCACCCACAGATCCTGTCCCAGAAGGCTGCCGCTTCCAGAAGAATTTCACAGTGAAGCACATTCAGACACACTCTTGCCTGGCACTCACGTTCACGGGACTCCCTCCGGCCATCCCTTCCCTCCCAACCACATAGCACACGGCACTTCTGCTTTTCTGCTCGACCCAGGCA